GGAGGAGGGGGAGGAGAAGACGAAGGGGGAGCCTGACAAGGAGGAGGGGGAGTTACGGAGTTACGGATATTGCGACTGTGTCGGTTACGATGGCGATTAAAGAGAACGAGCCGCTCTTCTGGCCTTGCCAGCTTTGCTATAAGCTTTAGGCCAGATCCCCCGTTCAATATTCTTTAAATAATCAGCACGATTACCTGTGGCTCTGCCGTCGCACCTCTTTCCGAGTTGGGCCAACTGTTGGGCCGCAAAACTTCCACAAGTGCCACAGAACCAAATCCCCAGCCCAGCGTGAAACTGTAACGTGTGACTGTCGTCAGCCCACCCCCCACAGATGTGCACCCTGCAACGGGGGGGCGGTCTGAGAAAAACGCCATCTATAGCCCTCAGGTCAAAGCACGGGGTTTCCAACCAAAACTTGCGCTTAGCTTTAGTGGTGGAGCTCCTACACTTCAAACAAGATAGGCCGTTTTCAGACAGCGTATGCAGGGTCGAAAACTCTTTACACACCAGAGGCGCTGGTGGCCTGGGCCCTGGATTCCTGACACGGGCTCCTCGGGGCTCTTCGGCCGCCAGGGCGGCCTCGGCTTTTAAAGTCTCGACTGTGGCCAGTAAGATTCGCATGCGGACGGCGAAAGTCATCTTCTCATTCAGGAAAACTTTAGATCTATCAGAGGCTGGGATGCGTACTAAACGAGCCGCTGCCTCGGCCAACTTATCAGCAGCTGCATTACCTACCGTCAAGTACAGAGGTGCTTTACCCTGGAGTACATCACGGGCCTCCTGGTGGGAGTGAACAAAAAGGACCGTGCAAGATAAGGTCGGTTTCCGTTTGAGCACCTGACCTACCTGATGCCAAAGGTCCGCGTTCTCCCCCTCTGGGGCGAAGGCCCGCCCGCAATACCAACCTGAGCACACACTGGAATTATCTGTGGTATAGAGCGTGACGCCATCAGCGCCGATCAGCGCTGACAAGAAACTGAAAAGTTCACCCCTGGCAACTGTCTGGACAGGACCTGGGAGGCCTCCCCAAACTGAAGCAACAAGCTGCATATTATCTGAAATGTCAGAATACTGTGCAATTCCACATCCTACTCTACGGAGCCTGGGATCGGAAGTATCTTCGCCCCCACTCGCGTCCCCGAAAAGGCACAGGGGGGCCAACGGAGAGCCCACGCCGAAGCAATTATCTTCGAAAACCTCGACCCCCTCAGACCACCAATCTGCCTCCTCTTGTGGGGGCGGGACGGCTACCCAGGACTGCGGCAGCAAACCTCGGTGCCAGAAACACGGTTCAAATTCATGCTGTGAATGTGCTCTGGGTGCATATTCGTCTGACACACGATATATATCATGATCTACACACTTAGAACAGCTCCAAATGCGGTGGAAAGAGGTCTCCTGCTCTGCTCGACACCGCGCACAAATCTGGGATATCGGCAACTTGGATTTCTCTGACCTGCGCTCCCGTGGCCATGCTGCTCCCGCTGCTGTCGACAGGAGTAGCCCAGCCAGCTGCTTGCCGTTGGGCCCCTCCTCGAGCTGCCGAAGAAGGGCCCGCAAGGAGAGATTGCAGATCCCTCCTTCCATGCCGCCTCCATCAAAATGCAAGGCCGCCTGCCGCCAAAGCCGCTGCATCACGGCGCCCTCGTACTCCTGCAGGAAGGCCTTCGGCACGTCCACCTGCTCGAAGCCCGTGAAAGCCTCAGGGTTGAACTGCCAGTTGTGCTGGAGCCCTGATCCATCATCTTGTACTCGCCAATCTGATGGACCCTCTGGCTCCCATCCTTCCTGCAAGATATAGGTGATAACTGCTGCTTGGGGTCCGCGTATGTGGCGGCTGCGCAGCTGTGGCGGCATGGCGCGAAATTCTTGGGCCAAAGATCTCCAAGTTCGCTCGATCCCGCTGCGCAGCGCCGGTTGCGAAACCCATGTCCGAACCCACATCTGCAAACAATCCCTCGGCAAACGACAGGCAGGGTCACGCCCTGGTGCACGAAGGTCCAGCAGCGTGGTGACGCACCGCCCTGTGAGCCTAGGGCTAGAGGCGTCGCACAAGAAGGTCCTCATCTGCCGCATGCGATGTCCAAACACGCCGTGAACTTGATGTGCGTACGCTCCTGCCGCTGCCGCTCCTTGCTGCTCCAGCCTAGCTGTAAGCCGATAACGACGCGCTGTACGCGCATACTTCACAACCTTCGCGTGCATCTTCTGATGGCGAGCTGCTCGCACCGTCTTGGCGGCGCGAACGTGGCGCCGACCCCCGCCGACGTCAACTCCTAGATATGGGGTCTGCGCCGCTGCCGTCACAGAAAAGCCCGCCACCTTGAGCCTCCTCACAACCTCCTTGGCGTCCGCAAGCTTGGTGCACACCACCGCGCTTTTCGGGGAGATCTTGAGGCCGTCGTGTTGCATCATCTGTCAGGTCTCCTTCAAACATGCCACTAGCCTATCACGAACTGCTCGTCGTGACCCTTTGGATACCTGACTCAAATCGTCGATCCACAACCGATGTGAAAGATGCACGTGAGTTGTGGTAATTTTCTGCATGATAAAAAATGTGACCACCTTGGCGAAACGAGTGCCTGATCGGAGGCCTTGGACCACCGACCTCGTGGGGCAGAAAGCCTCCGAGTAGGCTCCTGCCTGTCGGAGGCACCGCGCCGACATGCACTGCAGCAGCTCCAGCCCCAGCACCTCGGCTGGGAATTCCAGCCGCAGTGCCGCCTCGCCGAGCCGCAGCCACCCGATCGTGTCGTAGTAGCTGGCGATGTCCAGCAAACCGTGGCCATGGGCCACGCCCAGCCTCGCAGCCAGCTCCTCGTCCACCACTCGGATGAACGCCTCCTGCAGCGCCGCGTTGCCGCGTATCGCGGCGTCCCACGGTGCCTCGCAGTCGTCTGACCACGAGCGCACCCACGGTTCTCTAGTCATGGACCAGAGCCGCGCTATGTGGGGCAGCAGTCCGATGACCCTGTCGCCAGCGATCTTCTTCGGCAACAAGGTGCCGATCGTCAACAGCAGCTGATGCGGCCAAGCCTGGCAACTTTCACAAGCTGCCAGGATCGCCGCAAGCTCCTCGAGCGCCGTGTCGGGAAGCCGATCGGTGTCCAGCGCCGTGAGACGATCGACGCCCATGGCCGACGTCTGCTTCATCTGTCGACCTGCGGCTCGAAGCATCTCGCCAGACAGGGGAGGTAGAGGTTCATCTGCGACGCGTGCACGAATGTCCGCGAACAGCTTGTGAAGCCCATCCAGCTGCTGACCCTCTGGGGCCCATAACTCCTGAAACTTGCCACTCTTGCGATCCATGATGTCTCGCGGGTGCTGTATGGCCTTATCTCCGTCTACATACTCATGTGGAATCTGCGGCGACTCCCTGATAGCACGATGAAGGGCCGATACTGCATTCTGAGACTCTATCCATTCTCGAAGCTCGGCGATCGACTGGTTGACTGCTCGTCGCTGGCTTCTCTGAGAAACTCGTTCACTAAACTTGACTGCCTCCGACAACTCCTGCTCGCTCAAGGATGCCACCGACGACAGCAGCTGTACCCAAGCGCTCCAAGAAATGCCGTCCTTAGGCCGAATGACCTGATGCCCCTGCTCAGGAGCTTCTTGACTCAACTTGTCACACGTGGCTAACAACATCTGCTGCTGCTTGGCCCCGTTCTTCTTCGCTCTATGCTTGGAATATGTATCCAGAACCACATGGGCTCTGGTCCACCATCCACTGATGCGATCCCGCAGCGGCGTCAATCTGGCTGGCGTCGCCTCTAAGACCGTGTCTGTACGAAACTTGGCCCCCTCTGCTCGAGAACGCCCAAGATTGGCCTGGCCGTGGTGCGAGGCGAAACTGGCCTCCACCGTGCGTACCCACGCACTGAAAAGACTGCTGATGCTATCACAATGGTTGGAGCCAAGGGAATGTGCTACGGAGCGAGCAACAGCAGGTGCAGGCGGGTAAGTACCCGACGATATGAAGCCGACGTTTTTCCTTTCATCGCTCCATGTGGCCTCGGCTATTTTGAATTCGACGCTTGGCTTTAAATTCCCCTCTGACCGTTCGGGCGATGGCTCTTGAGACTTACTGTGAGACTGTTGCTCGGGGCTACCACCTGGGGGGTTTTCACGCTGGGCCGAATTACTCATTACCTGAGGGTCTCCACTCGACGAGAGAGAGGCAGCAGGCGGGGCGGGGGCAGGTCCAAAACTGGGCTCGTAGGCCCACGGGTCCTCCTCGACATCCGAGTCGTCAAGGCTGGTGTCCAGCAAATCGCCAAGACCTGTCTCAGCGTCGCTAAGGGGAACCTGCGGACCGACCTCTCCTCCCTCACCTAAAGATTCTCCTACACTCTCGATGGGAAACCACTCACGAATTCGCTCATGACGCTTCTGCTTAGCCAACTGCTGTGCAAGTCTACGTTCCACCTTGGCTCGGCTCGACTTCGAGCCCTCCACGGGCTGCCGAGCAGGGCGGGGCACCAGTGGGAGCTGGGGTGGTAAATCCAAAAACCTAGTGTACAATTGGCTACCTTCTGAAACTAACTCGAGACTGAGGCCGATGTGGGGTTTCCAAGGAACGCCCAGGACGGCCCTGAGCCCCAGGATATAAGGCCTCGCAGCCTCAGAACATAAAGCAAAGTCTAAATGGGACGGCCGGTTTTCACCTGGCGTGCAGGTAAACTCAGCCTCAGACTTGACAATGATGCCGCTCACTTTTTCCACGGGGCCCGTTGCACACAACTGCCCTGGCGACATGTTCCAATCACCTATTGCGATCCACGGTATTTGCAGTGATGCTAACAAGCTGCCGATTCTTCTGAAACGAGCTACATTGTCTCCTGTGAAGCCGATCCCCGAGTGACCGTACATGATACACACAACTAAGGAAAATCCACGCATATGCAGTAGAACAGGCAAGAACCCGTCGAACGCTGCACAACGATCATGACGTAGTGCAGGGGAATTCCGAGCAGCGTCCAGAACTTGAGCGGGGCGATGGTTACGAACCAGCATCCACTCTCCTCCTTCATTCGCACGGGCTTCCTGACCTGGGTGTGCCTGCTTCCATCTGCTCTTACTCCTCGCGCTGTTGGCTAGAAGCTTGTACTTGTGCGTGCGGGCCTTGGCCATCCACTTGCCGAGGTCTCGCTGATGCACATGAGTTTCGCACGCTGAAACATAATCGTGTGACTGTGCCGCCTGACAGAGATACTCCCAACTCTTGTCCCCTATGCATGTCACGTTCCCGAAAAAGAGCTTCGTCGATGATGACGGAGCTGGCGATGATGCAGTACTCCCCGTACTGCAGGTCCCCGATGTTGACGCACCAGTGCCTGAAGGACTGCTGCTGACCCCCGTTGGCGTCGCCGTGGGCGCCTGCGCGCTGGAGGCTGCAGCAGCCCCCTGTCATAGGTTCTCGTCGCCGTCGGGAACCTTCACGTTGTCGCCGCTGCCTTTGCCGACTCCACCCTTGCCCTGCTCGACCGCCTTCGCTGCATCGAACCTGGCCTTGGAGATCGCAGCGGCCGCCTGCTTCACCTGCTCATCAGTGGGCCCAGCCGCCGCGGCCTCCGCGGGCGCTCCTGAAGCCGCTGCCGCAGAGGAGACGGCAGGGCCAGGAGGAGCCGTGCCTGGCACGGCCCCGCCCGCGGAAGCCTCCGTGGCCGCTGCGGGAGGCTTGCCCTCGCCCCCCTCAGCTGCGACCTCGGCGGCAGGCTCCTCGGCCTTGCGCTTCTTCTTCGTCATGCGCTCCCTCACCTCCTTCTCGAAAGTGTCCACCTTCTCGATAAAGGCACGCACCTGGGCGTCCTTGGACTCGAAGGCGGATTTGTATGAATCCAATTCTGTCTTCAACGCTCGTAGCTGAACTTTGTCGGCTTTTTCGCAATCCCAACTCTCGAACTGCTCAAAGATGGCCGCGTTGATGCGGAGCTCGAAGGCGGGCTGCCCACCTGCAGCGCTGGCTGCCTGCGTGGCCGTGACGCCCTCCGCCTTCGCCAAGGCCTCAGCCGCGCGCTTCTTGTCGATCTCCGCGCGAGCCAGGTCCTCTGCGGCCTTCTGCTCCTTGCCCTCCGCCACTTGCAATTGTTTGCGAAGGCGGAGGACTTGTGTCACCGTCTGCTCATGGCGGTGAGACGCCGCACGCCAGGCCCCGTCGGCCTTGCGCACCGTCTCCGCCTCCGACACACTTGCCTGCTCCTCCTGCTGCGCTTTGAGCTGGAGCCGCTCCTTCTGCACCGCCAAGGCCGACTTGAGCGCCAAGTCATCCGTGACCTCCGCGGCCTTCTGGAGCAATGCCTGCAGCTCCTCGTTCTGCGTCTTGGCTGCCGTTCCCGCGCCTCGCCTGGGGCTACGGTTGCGACTGCCGCGCTGCTGGCTGTCACGTCCTGCTGCCTCGGTGCCGCCATTGCCCTGCACGGCGATCTCCTCCACGTGGTCGTCGAAGGAGACTCTGCTGGGCGACCTCGGCACAAACAAACGGATCTTCTTGCTGCAAGTGGGGCAGCGGGCGTTTGTGGCAGCCAGCTTGTCGTTGTACTCACACGTCTTGCAGTGCACGCGCCTGCTCCATGGCCGACTGGTCGTCCGACCGCGGCTGGAGCCGCGAGGGCGCGCTGCACCTGCTGCTGTCATCCCTGCTCTCGTTAGCCTCGCGAGAATGGGCTGGTCTCTAAAGGCTATCCCTCAAGCACCCCGATGAAGGTACAGGGATCGGGCTCGTGCAAAATGCTCGAGCCCAATTGGCTTGAGCAAGGAGGAGGGGGAGGATGGGGAGGAGAAGGAGGAGGAGGGGGACGAGGAGGGGGACGAGGAGGGGGACGAGGAGGGGGACGAGGAGGACGAGGAGCAGGATCGCGCCCTTCCCCCGCAGGAGGGGCGACTCCAGCTCAGATCGTCCTCGATGGCTCCCCTGGCGCGTGGCGGCCGGGACCTGCACAGCTACGAGGCGGGTCAGGGAAGGGGCCAGGCTGCGCCACCTCGGTACGATCGGAACGGGTACAGGACGAATGTGTACGGAAACCGACTTCAGCTCCTGCCCATCTTGAACAGGTCGGGAGCGGAAAAGAGGGGGGTGATGACTAGGGGGGGGGGATATCATGGGGCGGGCCATGATATTTCCCAAGATTTCATGGCGCCTCTTCTTATTTCATTACGTCCCTGGCCCCCCCGCTGGGCCGCGCACATGCCGCCGGCCATGATTTGCACCCCCCCCTCTTGGACACCCCCCTCTTGGCCGCTCCCGAACAGGAGTCGTTGTCGGTGCCACCGCGGACCTGTTCCATTGAGACAACTGTCGCCTCTCCAGCAGCGGCCGCTGCCGGTGTTGGACAACTCTCGCCGGCATCTTGCCAATGTTCCTGTAACCCTTTCGGGTTTGCAAACCCCTTCCTCCCTCCTCCTTCGTTCCCTACTTCTTCTTCCCGAAGGTTATCGGGCGTTTTCGGGCCCCAGTGTGTCTTCCATCGGCTGGGCCTTGTCAGAAGTCCTACAGGGAGA